CGGATCGGTGGGTCGCGGTGAGAAGTTTTCCCTGAGAGGGAGGGCCAGTCGGATCTGTGGGTCCCGGTGAGAAGTTTTCCCTGAGAGGGAGGGCCAGTCGGATCTGTGGGTCCCGGTGAGAAGTTTTCCCTGAGTGGGAGGCCAGTCGGATCTGTGGGTCCCGGTGAGAAGTTTTCCCTGAGAGGGAGGGCCAGTGGGATCGTGGGTCCCGGTGAGAAGTTTTCCCTGAGAGGGAGGGCCAGTGGGATCAGTGGGTCCCGGTGAGAAGTTTTCCATGAGAGGGAGGGCCAGTCGGATCGGCCGGCTTCGCCGGCCGATCCTCCTTCCGCGTGTGAAGTGGGTCCCGGTGAGAAGTTTTCCATGAGAGGGAGGGCCAGTCGGATCGGCCTTCGCCGGCCGATCCTCCTTCCGGGTGTGAAGTGGGTCCCGGTGAGAAGTTTTCCATGAGAGGGAGGGCCAGTCGGATCGGTGGGTCCCTGTGAGAAGTTTTCCATGAGAAAGATCGGCCGGCTTCGCCGGGCGAATGGTCGAAAAAATAGTGTTTTGAGAATTACCGCACTTTACCGTTTCACTTCTTGTATATACCCCCCTAGAAGACAGTCATCAAAATTTTCTATGCGGCACTCCCCTTAGTGATGAGGAATCGCAGAATAACTATTGCCGACGGTACCAACTATTTGGTATGCTCCCTTCGGTTGTGTCAGTGGTTCAGTTGACACCTTAAACTTGGGTAATTAAACTGTATTCGGTAAAATGATTACATATATAAAAGCAAGGGTAAAACACTGACAAGCGAGCTCGGCGAGCCCCTTTTATTCTGTCTAAGTGGGCGGAGCTCGCCGAGAAATGTTAGATGTAAGCATGATAAGCTCAATGTTTCTACAGCTAAGTTGCAATGTTATGACATTCCATGAGCGGTCATACTGATAACGTTATGCAAGTTACAGAGCGTAAAGCTACGAAATAGAGATCACAGGATCCTCTATATTCCCGGCCAAGAAGATAGTCGCCTGCCACCGATCTGTTGAGCGCCTCAACCGCTTTCGTGGTGCCTGTTTTCCGCCGGTCTTCTCGAGCCGCTTCTTTCCCGACCTCTCTCTTCTCGAGCCCATGCTCTCTCAAGTCGATGCTCCAGGTCCCGCATCTCTCGTTCAACACGATCTTCCTTTGCTTGCAGACGTGATCTCCTTTGCTTCAGATCATCTATCGCCCTCGCCGATCCAGTCCTTCCTTTACCTTCTCGCCTTTCTCTTTCGATAGAGTTGTTAACTTCGACCATCGAGTCTCTGATTCCCTTCAGCTCGCGATTGGTTTCGTCAATTTGTCGCTGAATCCTCTCCAGTTCGGGAGAGGGCTCCACCAGGGCGAGTGACTGCTGGTCTCTGTCGACTCCATTTCTGGGGTTCAGCTCTTCTATCTGTGTTTACAGCTCGTCGATGCCTTCCAAGAGCTGGGACATATTCATTGCTTCCACCTTGGCTTTCAGGTCTCTGATGTCCTCTTGAAGGTCTTTCCACTGGGTAGGTGCGGATGATTGCTCCTGGACTTTCGGAATTGCTACGGTTTCCGTCACGAGCTTCTCCATCTGACTGATACGAGTCTCGATTGCTTCCGCGGTGGACACAAGTTTGTCAATTTTGGATTCAGCTGCTTTCAAAGCACCTACGCTTTGCTCCTGCTGAGCTTGTAGGAGCTTTTCGAACGCCTCAGGTGTTTGATGGTTTCTTCAGAAGAAGTGACGGTAATGGCTGGTGCTAGTTGATCGACTTTGCTGGCTGCTAGCTGCAATACTCGACTTCCCTGTTGTAGAAGCTCCTTCAATATCGTTCCAGACGCACGACCTTTTTTGGGAGGGAGAACATTTTCTTTTGACGACGAGGATGACGATGATGAAGATGATGATGAAGTGCGCTTACGCTTGGTAGAGGGGGAGGGGCACTTTTAGGCACGGCTGGCGCAACAGGTTTTGGTGGCGGATTCAGGCGCTTGGCCGGCTGTGTTGGTTTGGCTGGCGATGTTGGTTTGGGCACCGGTGATGCTTTAGCTATGACGTCCGTTCCCGTAGTGGCTGATGACGTCTTCTTGGCTTTGTCCATAACTAAAATATAGGAACTACAGTATCCGAAGAACAATCGTAGTGATTTCATGCAACGGATCAAATCTGCCAAT